GAGTATGGTTAGCAGAGAGCGCATCTATGGGCGATCTGTAACCATTAAGCAGGCTTATCTTTATTCTACTTCTATAAGATTGCGAAGTTAAGACCTAGGGTTTGTATAAGGCATTATTGTCATGCTGTCTTGTAAACAAACGGGTCGTGTGGCGCATTATTGTATGCGGTCAGCAAACCCTCCGGTACATGTGCATATAGTCAGCAGCTTTGTGGATAGTTGTAACTAAGTCACATAAAGTTCTTATTAGTTAAAGGTGACGTGAATTAAGAGTTTTCGGAACTCTATAAGATGGAAGAATATCCAAAGCGGATAGGCTCTATGTAGCCTAGTTGAGCAATGGAAAGAAATTTCCAATATCCTAGGGACAGTGGGAGCGATGTGTTACTAATGGATTACTCCATTAGAGCAGAACTCTAAATTTTTAGTTGCGTGATAGCAAATGTGAAAATTTTTCCACGTCATCACTGGGTTGAATTGAGAGGGAAACATTATGATTGCTCGCAAGATGATAAAGAGCCTAGGATAATGCTAAAGGCTCTAGTCCCATATTTTTTGAAAGTGGATCAATGTTGCGCAGTTTAAGACAAAGTTTTGAGGATTAACCAATTTTTTAAATTTGGTTGACTTTCCATTATGACGCAAAACTGTATAAAGGTTATGCGTAATTTGAATAGTCATTTTTTGAGGCATAAGGCTCGCTAGATACCGAATGGTCGCACCATTGAGGAAAGTGTAGACCATGAGAAGACTTCCTCCTGGGAGTGAGGTTATTTTGACTTAGGCTATATTGACATAAGTTCGGAAACATTGATTTGTGGACATTGTGACCCGAATTCTCATTAGAGAATTGGATAAGTAGATCCGTAGGGTTTTACCTTCTGCTTTTATGGTGAAAAGTTGGAAGCGCAAAAAGGTTGCCTTAGTTCCATAAATCTTTTACAGCCTAAAAGCAGTTATCCAAACAGTGGTTCTTAGATTTTCCGTCAAGCCATGATAAGGGCAACGATGATCGATGAAGACACACTGAGGCATGATCAGTGGTCGCAAAAGAAGTTTTTCCTTACTTAGTCATTATGAGCCAGGAATTTATAAGGTTGTCGCCACCTAGGGTGGGCAGTCCTCCATTTTTAGATATGATGGACATGGGTGATGTTAATTCATATGCCTCGGATGTCGATCCTTAGGGACTGTTTTAGGAAAATTCCTCGGTTTGTCTCGATGATTACATAAGGAATTCCTAGAAGATTCTAGATGGCAAAATTGCAAACCCATTGACTATACCTATCGTAAACCGCCAGAGCCTTAGTATTGAGTGAAATCTCAGACTTGTCTTTGGGAAAACAAGAATGACTATTGTTCCTTGATTTTTTCTTTGTTGTGGGAGCTAAAGTCGCTATGTGGGCGTATTCGCAATGATAAGTTTTATCTTTGATAAATGGTTAACTGGAGTTGTTTTAGACATTTGAACCTTAGCTCATTAGACTGTGGGATAAATGCTTTATTAGAAGCATATTCATTTGCCTCTTGTAAAATTCATGCGCTAGTATGGGCGCATATGCGCTACGTTGGGCGCATTAAGAATGAACGCAAATGGTCACCAAAATTATCTTTAGAGAGGTATTGCGCAAGAGCACTAAGTGATCTTAAATCATTTCATGTGAGGCGCACATGGTGGATTCCGTTGTATATACTTTCGCAAGAGGTGCTGATAAAGGCTTATGTTTGGAATCTATAATTGCGCAAGCTGTGGATCAAATTTTTTTTTTTAAATCGATCACTTATTTTGAGACATGATGGGATGTTGACACTATTATGGTTTGTGTCATAATGAATTATGCAAATGATGATGTCACAGGCAAGATTGGCTCACTCACACGAGCAATCGCCTTGGCTTGGAGCGAGCACAAGGTATGAGACTGGTGGTTTATTTTTATCGGGCCAAAGGAGGCTTAATCAAATCCACAAAAAAAAACTATGTATGTCGCGCCTTGGTTATAACCAGATGAGGTCGTGTTAAGGACAAACATGGGTGTTAAGTACCCACTTTCTGTTGTGCCTGTTATGAAACTAGCCAAGATTCGCAGAATCTCATTTGACGCCTTAGAAGGCGAGCAAATAGAGAAATTCAGGGTTAGGCCGCTAGAAAGCGCTAGACTAATATCTGTTAGGTGTATCGATATACGTCAACCTTTAATGGAAGAGTTACTCCACCTAACATATATTACATCATTATGTGCTTAGCGACCGAGTAAATGAGGTGAGAGAATGGATCCATGCTTTCCTCACCGTGTGAGTCTTACGAGTCATTATTGATATGACTTTCATTTATGTACCTTTTTGTGACTTTTGACTATGTCTAAGGTAAGGGGTTGATGTTCTGCTACTTTGGTATGTTTGCTGCGGTCCATGCCATGATTCGGCATTAGGGACATCACTGGGAAAGCGGTCCAATCCTAAACTAATGGCCTGAGTGCAAAGGAAGATCATCTAGTATTACACCACTGTTGTATATTCATGCCGGCACTCACATCGCTCTGTATGAAGGCGAATGAGTGTGAATATATTGCAGAATTGAGAGGGTCAAACATGCTCTTTTTGAGGGATTAGAGATGTTTTTTGGACGGTTGTAATTAGATGGGTTCTGGGTAATATGAAAGACACTATTTCTCTTTTCTTTTTGGGTTGATCGTCTCTATGCTGGCTCATTTTGAGTTTTCTAGTATAGAGCTCGACCACATGCAGTGTTCTCAGCCGTCGGCCAGGTGGCAGTGGCTAGTATGAGATTGTTCGGTTTTGGGGAAGATTGAGATAGAGATGTGGCAGATGTCCATGCCAACTCATGTGCGTAGTGGCGCGTGTTAGTATGGGCGGCCATGTGGCATGACCATTAAAAAACATGATTTTGATCCTTATCCAATATAGGTTTTGATTTTGAAATCAAACCTAATTTAGGATAAGCCACTCTTGAACAGACGTTTCAGTTTGAACTGTATAGATAGATATAATAATTATTAGATATTTCTGTATTTAACGATATGGATAAGATATTATAATATATTAATATTTGTTTATATGGTTATGGGTAATCCAAGAAACAAAGTTGAGTCTGTTTCAACCCATATTCTGACTCTCTCCCAAAAACAACAGATCAAAGTCATTTTGCACTTGGTTTGTTGTGGGTGATATTCACCAATGTATATCACCCCACTGTGGGATTGGATGATCTGATTCTGGAAGCACGTGAATTTTTATCCACGAGGTTCAATCATCAAAAGGTTGAAATCTGATGATTTTAATTTCCGCTGCATGTTTTGTGTTTTGATTACAAGATTCAAAGGCTTGCAACATTATGGCAGGAGGTATTCTTCTTTTTGAATTAAAATTAATTTAAATTATAACAATTGGTATCAGAGCCAACTCTAATTATGGTTGTTTAGTATTTGTTTTCAGTTACATAAAATAAACTTTCCAGCATCTTACAGTGATAGAATGTTTTATTCCAACAAATTTTACTGGATGTTTTGATCGCGTTACAGGTCGCATACTGAATCTAATTCACACCATAAAAATTCACATTCAGAATCATTGTAGAATCAGAATGAGTAATTTATAATTGCATAAACTTTAAATCCTATTAAAGAAAAGGAAGCACTGTTGCAATGTAGAGTCCATCGTGATTTGGTGCTAGTGTATTTACATTTATTTAGAATTTTCTTCTACTCTG